GGCCACCAGGCGGAACTTCAGGGGTTCCTTAAGACCAGAGCGCTCCCCATGCCAGCGTGACGCTCCGAAAGACTTCACTTTGGGGACAATATAAAGCGCCCAGGGATTCCTGAGTAATTCAAGAGGGGAGAGAACCCTAAGCAGGACATGAATCAGGCATGTGGGGACTCACGCTGGCATCATTCTGAGCTGTAAAGCCAAAAATATATGGCACCTGGAGTTTGGGGATCAGTTCAAACTTAACGTCCAAGGAGCAACTACACAATTTCCCATCCCGTCAGCAGAGAGAAAAAAAAATCCTTCCGTGCTATCCTTCAGCTTTCCTTCAAGCCCAAAACTCTTCTCTGCCCACCCCGTCGGCAGACCCACACCCCATCTCCACAGGCCCCTTCAAGCTCTGCCTGTGTCAAGCGCACAGCATTTTAGAATCACTGACTTTAAACCCAGACTCCAGAGCACATGCCCTTTTATGAGCGAAGAGAACAGAACCAGCATAACTGGACTCCCTACTGGGCCCGAGCACATATTTTCTCAGCTCTGACCGAAACCCCACAAGGCGTGCGACACTAGAGTGCTAGTTATGGGTAGGGGGGGCCCACAACCGGGATCACACAGCTCAAAGAGGGAGGGGAGGAGTGAACAGTCACACAGCTCCAATTTTTGTAAATGATACCGTTAACCAAGTCAGGCCGGCTCATCTCTAAATCTCTGGATGACTAAAGGTTATCTAACTCGCACTCTTCCAAATTCACAGTTGAGAAATTATTAAGTGAATTTCTACCTGATATATTCAGAGCTTCTCAGAAGCCAGAGCCTGCTCCGCTGTTTGAACTGAATAACTAACTCTGTATTCAAGTGATATTAAAGGGAACAATTCCCTTTTTTCTAACTTGGAGAATTTAATTTAGGTGTTTTATCGAAAACTGCTGCTCCCAGTAGATTAATGGCCCACTATATCTTTCATATTAAGTTAATTGAGTGCAGAATGGCTTTGCTGGATTTGAATGACAGCCTCCAGGGTTTAGCTCATCATTCTTTAAGAAAGCATAAAATGAGGAACCCAAATCATGGGCCTGAATGATCACATCTTTTCTCTGTTCAGGGTAGGTTTTTCCATTTTCGGTTGCCACACAGTACATTAATTAGCAATCAGGCAGCACTGGGGCCAAATGATTTCCATCCTCCGTCACCAATGAAACACCAGCCCAGCCCATAACTTTCCATCTCATTGTGTAGCTACAAAAAAGAGGGAGACTTCGTGAGTGACAGCCCTTCACAACTTAGAGAGCACCTGTGCTTCCTCCCTCTCATTTCACCCTCAGCTCTCTGTGATTACCCTCAGCTCACAAATGAAGAAACTGAGAAACGGAGCAGAGCGAGAACTTGCTCGAGGTCACACACCAGGAAGTGGCAGAGCTAGGACCGGGCTCCCAGCCCATTGCTCCTTCCCCAGACCACAGTAGCCTCGTGTGACTTCACTCTGTGATCGTTCACTATTTTTTTCAGTATAAATTTTGTCCTGCCTTCTTTTTTCACCCATCTCTTCATCCATTCCAAATTTAAACAAATGAATTCTTCGTTCGCTCTTGCCCATCTTATCTTTCTGGCCTCATTTCCATCATTACCCACCATGAACCCCAGGCTGCAACCACATCAAAGCATGTGTCGTGTTCTATGCACGTTATGACCTTGCTTTTGCTCAGAACTGTTCCCTCAGCTGCAATGCCCTTGCCCGCCTTATTTACCTCCCCACATTTCCCAAACCAAATGCCATTTCCTCCAGGAGGCCTTTCCAAATGTACAAATATTCTGTAGCAAAATATTACAGGATTCTTGCATCTATGTTTATCAAGGGTACTGGCTTGTAATTTTCTTTGCTTGTATTGTCTCTATCTGGCTTTGGTATGAGATGATGCTGGCCTCCTAAAATGAGTTTGGAAGTGTTCCCTCCTCTTCAATTTTTTGGAATATTTTGAGAAAGACTTGTATTAATTCTTTTTTAAATGTTCAGTAGAATTCATCAGTGAAGCCATCTGCTCCTGGACTCTTCTCTGTTGGCAGATTTTTTATGACTGATTCAACATTCTTTTTTTGTTTTTTTCCAAGGCCAGTATGTTTCTTTTATTATTATTATTTTTGTCTGACTTAAGATGGTTGAATGATTTCATTTTCATTTATAAGCATTACAAGAATTCCCATGCAAAAACCAAAACCGTATATGCCTAATTCCAATCGGCCAAATTCCAACCCATGAGACTGGACATTCAAGATCAAAATCAAAATGTTGCTTGACCTTTCCAATAGTAGACGTCACGGTCATCCTTTGAGAGATCGGCAGGCCGCTGAACTCCCAAACGCTACAGTATGCCATGAGTTCATACCAAAACAGGGAGCCAATCGATGCCTTGCAGCACCTAAACCTGGCAAGTAATTTCATTCATGAAGACAGGACACCTCTACACCAAGGCTGCCACCCACAGTTATCTCCTGGTTCCTGCTGTGTAGAAAAACCTGCTTTTGAACAGGCATGGTATCTTCTATTTGGGGACTGATATTAATTTTTCCTTCCAGTTTTCCTCAAAACTCTCAGTAGAAGCAAAGAGACTTTACAAAAAAGCTTACCTCTATAATGTCAAAAGAAATACAGTTGACCCATGAATAATGCGGGGTCAGCGGCACCGACCCCTGTGACGTTGAATACCCGTATATAACTTTATGATTCAATATTCTTATTAGTAACTGGACGGTTCAGATTTTCTATTTCTTCATGATTCGGTCTTGGTAGGTTGTATGTTTCTAGAAAGTTATTCATTTCTTCTAGGTTATCTAATTTGTTGGAATATAATTGTTCATAATAGTTTCTTATGATCCTCAGTATTTTTGTGGCAGTCGTTAGGTAGCTGCAAATCAAAGTCACGATGAGGTAGCACTTCCTACCCATTAGGATGGCTATAAAGCAAAACACCACGAAAAACAAGTGCTGACAAGGATATGAAGAACTTGGAACACTCACACATTGCTTGCAGAAATGTAAAACGGTACAGTCACTTTGGAAAACAGTATGACAGTTTCTCAAAATGTTACACATAGAGTTATCCTATGACCCAGAAATTCCACTCCTGGATATATATCCAAGAGAAATGAAAATATATGTTCACACAAAAACATACACAAATACTCAGAGCAACATCACCTATAATAGCCAAAAAGTGGAAACAACCCAAATGTCCATCAACTGATAAATGGATAAACAGAAATGTGGTGTATGCACACATTAGAATCTTATTCAGTCATAAAAAAGAATGAATGACTGATCCATGCTACAATGTGGATGGACCTTGAAAACGTGCTAAATGAAAGAAGTCAGACACAAAAGGTCACATAATGTATGATTCTATTTATATGAAACGTCCATCACGGGCAAATCCACAGGGACAGAAATTAGATTAATGGTTTCCAGGGGTGTGGGGGCGGGGGGAAGTAACAGCCAGTGCGCAGAGTTTCCTTCTCTGGTGATGAAAATATTCTAGAATTAGACAGTGGTGATGGTTGCACAACTCTGTGAGTCTACTAGAAACCACTGGATTGAGCACTTTTAAAGGATGCATTTTATGGTACGTGAATGACATCTCAATTTTCTTAAGTCTGTTTAATGAATCTGGCAGGTGACTAAGAAGTGCTGAGGACCAGAATGCTGGCCAGCAGAAAGCACCTCACATCTCTGCTCTCCCTGCTGTGGCCCGAGGTCCTCTCACTCCCAAACCCAGCCTGAAGCATGTCACTCACCTTTAGAAGCTTCCAGTGTCCACCCATATTAATCATGCCTTTTTATTTTCTGTATTTTTCGAAGTTTTGACATCTGGGGCCTTGCCGATCCTTCAGAGACTGCGCCTCCAAGAGCTAGCCAATTCTAGTAGAGGACTCACCGGCAAGTGTGCCTTTCAAATGCAAACTAACCAATGCAAAGCCCACCTTCCAACCATCTCTTTTATCTAGTTCTTACACTCCACAATCTATCCATCTGCCGTAATCACCCCAGGGCCAGGTATCAGAGAACTAGAGGCAGCCCCTGGACCCCAGAGCCTGCTGAAATTATTCATACTAGCCAATCCTAAGCCTGTTTACCCTGCCCTACCTTACCTTTTCCAAAGAAACCACAGTGAAGGCTCTTGCCCACTTTTTCCCCTTGCTCCCTCTGTCTCCTGACTCACCCTCGTGCTTCCCCATGTGGCCCTACTCGGCATGCCATGCTCTCCATGTCTAGGAATCTGTGAGGAAAAACTTCTTCCTGCAATACAGTCATTTCCATGTCTGAATGTCTAACCATACCTGATTAAAGCAAATCTCAAGAACATATTAAAACACCACCCTGCAAACCTAGCTCCACCCTCTCTTTCCCACCTAACTTCTTACCACCCCTGACACTCTCCAAGTTTAAGAGTCACCCCATACACCTCTAAATTCCTAAGCACACCACATTTCTTTGTCATATTCTGGGTACTCCTTCCCAAGGGCCCTCTCCAGCTTCTTTGTCTGTTACCCCTACACCGCCATCAAGCCTCACTTCATAACTCAACTGGAACAGCACCAGGATAGCCACCATGTGCTCCAACAGAACGTGTGCATTTTCCCTCAAAGCCCTTAGCCTGTGTGTCTATCTCCTGTCTGGCCAGTGACTTCCCCCAAGATAAGGACCGTGATCCCTCATCTCTGGATCCCCAGGGCTTAGCACAGAGTCAGAAAAATATTGGTAACTCAGTAAATGTAGGGTTTTATTCTTTAGTAGAAGAAACCTCCCCAACAGGCAAGTAAGTTCCTTGAGGATGGAGCCCGTACCCCCTGGGTCCTTAGCAGGACCACACACATGGTTGACCCCAGGCAAAGGCTTCTGGGCTGATTGAGTGAACTGGAATGATGACTGAGCAAATAGACAGGTGGGAGGAGAGTGGGTGAAGAAGGCAGGCCGGTCCCCCAGTCCCCAAGAGACAAGCTCTACTCACGCTGTTCTTCCCACTCGCGTTCCTCTTTCTCACTGGGGTGGCTCTGCAGCTGGGCCTGCTTCAGGGTCCAGTAGAGTTCCTTCGCCCTCTGCTCTTCCTGGAGGCGAATCTGCTCTTCTCCTCGCTTCCTCTCCTCTTCCTCTTTCCTCTAAGATACCACGGGGACAGAATGACGTTAGGTGACGGTGACAGGGCACGGGCAGGGAAGGGCTGAGCTGTCACGGGAAGAGGTGGGCCAGTGGTGCCCCTCCAGGCTCTGTCTCTACGCACATGAAAGAGTGATACTTACACCCAATCAGCCCATGGTAAGGATCAAGTGGCCTGAAATATGTGAACGATTTGTAGACTCTAAAGCTTTCTGCAAAAGTAAGAGGACTTTGGGCCACCCTTGGTCACACTTCCATTCTGGGGGAAGAGGGGAGGGGAGGCATGGGGAGGGGCCCCTGGTCTTCCTGGGGGCCAGTTAAGCAGGATATGATTATATCTTAACCTTATTGTCAGCGAAGATATTTCAGAGAGAGAGCAGGTTTGGGGGCCCCAAATCTCCAATTATTATCCTGCTTTCAAGCTCCAAAAAGGCCGTGTGTGTATTTTCCTCTACCTTTGTTTAATCAAAGCAACATGAACACACATGTCAATCATGCATTATATGCCAAAAGGCGTGTTGTAAAAAAAACATCAATTCTCCAATCCACTTCACCCCAACCTACCCCGCCCTCATCTACTGCCCAGAGGTCACCATCCTCGATTATTTTAGCTTTCCTTCGTGTGGTTACATCCGGGTCTGAATAATGCTGCTAATTCCTGATTTATCAATTCTAGACATTAACTACTACCTTTCTTTTTTGGTACATGAGTATTTAGCACTTATATTTCCCACACAGGTTCATACCCATACTTTTCCTCTCCTTTACCCTCACAATAGATTTACATCACAATTTGTGGTTAAATCAAAGATGGGTGCAGAACTAAATATAGTTCACTGTAACGCCAAATAGGGTGCTATTTCCACCAATTCTAAGAATTACATTTTTTAACTTTCTAATATCTCTAAAATATGTATGTCTTACAACTTACTACTTGCCTTTTTCATAGCCAACAGTTTTTTTCTTTCTTCTTAAAATAATCATAGATTTTACAATTAATGGCATGTGAAATTCAGTAAAACATGGCAGTGTGATGATTTTTTCTTTCGAATAATTTTCTTTCCTGAGTTACTAGTTGCTTTATCTTGAAGTAGAGTGTTGAATGTTTGCCAAACTTCTCTAAGATCTGCAGTAAATCTTTCTCTGTGTTTAACCAAGTGCTTTTTTTTATAACAGGCAATACAGCAGTGATCTTTTCCAAGGGACGCCTGCCCCCCAGATGCACCTCTCCTTCCCCATCTCAGCTGGCTGCCATCTAGGTCTCCTGTCCGTCTGTCCTCTCAGGACTCGCCTCTCAGCCTCCCGTGAGTTGAAGCCCCTGTTTCTTTGTTCCATGTTTTCTTTCTTGTCCACGTCCTCATTTTGCAGCAACATAGCTCACAACACCTCTCAGAAAAGGATGCAGAGAGAGACACTTGTCTGAATATATATTTATATATATATGTATGTATTTATCTATATATATCTATAGATAGATCTATATATAATCTATACGTCTATATAGAGTCTTGTCTGAAAATACCTATATGCTACCTTCACATGTAACTTCTAGCTAAGCATAGAATCTGATTAAAAATAATTTTCCTGGGCTTCCCTGGTGGCACAGTGGTTGAGAGTCCGCCTGCCAATGCAGGGGACGCGGGTTCGTGCCCCGGTCCAGGAAGATCCCACATGCCGCAGAGCGGCTAGGCCCGTGAGCCATGGCCGCTGAGCCTGCGCGTCTGGAGCCTGTGCTCCACAACGGGAGAGGCCACAACAGTGAGAGGCCCGCGTAAGGCAAAAAAAAAAAAAATTTTTCCTGCAGAAGTTTCAAGACTTTACTATCTTGTCTTCCAGCATCCAGTACTGCACTTGGATTCTCATTCTTCTGCATAAGGCACTAATTTTTCTCTTTATCACTGAATTCTGAACCTTTTTTTTTTTTTTTTTGGCTGCGTTGGGTCTTCGTTGCTGCGCGCAGGCTTTCTCTAGTTGTGGCAAGTGAGGGCTACTCTTCATTGTGGTGTGCGGGCTTCTCGTTACAGTGGCTTCTCTTGTGGCAGAGCACAGGCTCTAGGCGCGCGGCTTCAGTAGTTGCAGCGTGTGGGCTCAGTAGTTTTGGCGCACGGGCTCTAGGGCATGCAGGCTTCAGTAGTTGTGGCTCATGGGCTCTAGAGCGCAGGCTCAGTAGTTGTGGTGCATGGGCCTAGTTGCTCCGCAGCATGTGGGATCTTCCTGGACCAGGGATCGAACCCATGTGCCCTGCATTGGCAGGTGGATTCTTAACCACTGCACCACCAGGGAAGTCCCTGAACCTTTTTAATAGATGTGCCTTGATGTGGATTTTCTTTCATTGATTGTGTTAGGCAATCAGGATGCTTTTGATTGGAGTGTCAGGTTCTTCTAGTCTAATACATCGCTGCCTAGAATTTTTGTGATAATTTCTTCTCCTCTCATTTTGCTTTTTTCTTTTTAGAACCCCTATGTGTCAACTGCTGGACTGCCTGATTTGACCCTATAAGTGCCTTATCATTTCTCTTTTATTTTCCGTCTCTTGTCTTTTTGTTCTACTTCCTGGCTGATTTCACTGACTTTATCCCCCAAACCTTCCACTGAATTTTTTATTTCAGCTAGCACATTTGTAATTCCCAAGCCCTCTTTCTTATTCTTTGGTTGTTTCTTTTTGCTTCGTTGCATCCTGAAATTGTGTCATGAATGCAATAGTTCGTCTCTGAGGATTTTAGAGATTTTTCTCCCCCATATTCTGATTTAGATCTGTTTCCTCTCTTCTTTGCTTTTTTGTTTTCTTTTAAGTTTGTTTTATTTGGCGCCTGTCATTCGTGTTGGAGGCTTTCCTCTGATGTCTGATGTTCCCTGACTGCTCACATTAAAGAGAAAAAGTAAGTATGTATCTGAAACAGAGACTCAGAGTGTGTAGTCAGGGTTTCCTTGAGAGATGGGCTTAACTCTAGGAAGACTGGATGAAGGATCAGCCATTTCATTGAGGACCCTCAAATGTAAGTATCTGGAGGTCCTTCCTCTGAGACTATTCATTGTCTTTTCTGTCCTACCTGGGTGGTATGAGACCACCAGCATCCCAGGAGTCTGTGGTGGGATGCAGGCTGCAGGTAGAACAGCCCTTAGACTCAAGCAAGCAGGACCCTAACCTAAGCCCCGCACTTCATGGGAAACCGATGCTTTGAGGTGTCTTTTTGCAAATTTCCCTTGCAAGTTCCCCCAAGACTGGCCAGAGATAGTACCCCCAGGACTGGCAGGGGCAGCAGTGTGGTCCAGGTAAGATGCCCCAAGCCCAGACCAGGTCCCACATGAGTCCTAGTGCCTGCTTCTCCCCTTCAAGGTGCTCTCTGACCCTCTCCTCCATGCAAGGGGTTAACCAAGTGCCCCAAGGAGCTCCAGGATTCATATTTATGGAGTCATCCTGGGGCCCAGTGGCCAGGCCCTGGTTCCAGAAGGGTGGCCCAGAAAGCAGATGAATCCTATTGGCCAACACAATATTTTTATCATAGGATCACATGAGATTGGGCCACCAGAATAGAGCTGACAGGCTGATTTTATGTAGTTCAAGTTCTTAATTTGCTATAGACAAAACCACCACCAAAAAAAAAAAAAAAAGTTGCCAGCCCTGTACACCCTACAGGCAACCCTGGCTGCAGGTCCCACTGTTCAGAGTTCAGACCTTTGCTTGCTCCCCCTGTTTCCCACTTGGCCCCCATCTGCTCTCTCCACTCAGCCTGATATGCTGAGCCCCAACCTTGCCCTTGCAACTCCCCATCTCCTCCTGGTTAGAGGAAGGGATGAAGTAGCCTGGAAGAAACAGGTGAAAGCAGGGACCTGAGGGTCCAGCCACTCCACATAGAAACTTGCCACCAATCCCACATTCTCAGCGCCATCCTTCATGTATCTGCTGCCCCCAAGTCCCGAGCCTGTGGGGACTCTGGACTGAGTCGGTTCAGTGCCACCAGCCCTCTTCCTGCAGGAGCCCCGCTGACCCCCGCACCACTCTCCCTCTGTCTTCCAGAAACCAAACTTCTGTGGACATTTTCTCGTCTGTTCTTCCCTTCTCTCATTTTCTCTGTTTTTGTGGCTCATAACTTTTTCAGTCCACTGATATTTTAATGGATCAAAAAAAAAAAAAAAAGAAGACAGTAACTGTGAGTTTTGAGTCCCTCATTTAAAAAAAAAAAGGCAAGGATTTTGTTGCTTCTGAAATGGCACAGATTGAGGACTTTTCTCCAATTCAATGATTTTTTTAAATTCTAAAACATAGACAAAATTCCAACTTCCTATTGACCCACTCTCTAGGAGTCAGGAATTAAGGGCTAAAGAAGTTGAGCGGCTTCATCTAGGCATTCACCAAATCCTCACTGAGCACCCAGGAGGCTCAGCCTGCTCCAGGCACTGGGGAGGTAGCCGTGAACAAGGCAGACACAGCATCACTCTCTCGGAGCTTGCCTTCCAATGACAGAAAAACACTCATCAAGTAAAATAAAAAATATATCAGAAATAATAAAGCGTGCAGAGAATTAAAACAGGGTAAGTGATAGAGTCTGGGAGGCTACTGTAGGCTGCGTGACCAGAAGTCCTCTCAAAAGGGACTGATCTGAGACCTAAATAATAAGAAGGCTGATGAGTGAGTCTCAGGGAGAAGAAATTTCCAGAGCAAGGGAACCACAGGTGCAGTGGCCCCAGCACTGGAAACAGGTTTGGCATGTTTGAGTAGAGAATTATCCACTGTGGCTGGAAGGAAACCAAACAAAATTCTATCTTTAATGAGTTTGAGACGCCATCTGACATCCAAGAGGCCTGCCGTGGGCAGTGGGACGCGTGATCCCAGGACTTGAGGGTGAGGGCAGGCTGCAGATGTTGACTGAGAGGTCCTCTGCTCGGGGGTGATGTTTCTCAGCCATGGACTTGATGTTATCAATGTGAGAAAGAAGGTAGATCAAGAGAAAAAAGCCAGGGTGTCTTGGGGCGCTGAGCCATTTTAAAGTTGGGAGAAAGA